CACAGGTTCAAGCCGGACAGGGTCCCAGCACTGAGAGGACACGTGGACAGACTCCCTGTAACTCTAAACTACTAAACAGTCTTACTAATAGAAAACCCGGTAGCAGATATTGGGGTAAATTCTGAAAGATCAGAGAGACAGGACCAGCTACAGCTAGCCTCACCTCGCCAACTCCTCAGCTGATCTTGTTTCTTCAGACTGAAAGCCTCTGAGTCCTCACTGGGAAGGGATTTCAGCTGAACTGCTTAAAAGGCCTCTCTAGTTCCTGGTCCTCACGCCTTATATACCTTTCTGTGTCCTGCCATATTACTTCCTGGGATTAAAGGCGTGTGTCCTTCCCAAGCAAAGACATGGGATCTCAAGTGCTAGGATTAAGGGTGTGTGCCACCATTGCCTGACCTCTATGTCTAATCTAGTGGCTGTTTCTGTTCTCTGACCCCAGATAAGTTTACTAGGGTGCACAATATATCGGGGGACACAATATCACCACAGCTCCCTCCCTTAGCCAAGAAGCTATCTGCAATTGACACTTTACAAAGGGAAAATTATTTTCCCCAGGGGAGTCTCACGGGGTCTACTAATCCAGCAGGAGACAGTCGACGTAAAACACACGCAGTGTTTTTGTAGATTCTGGGTCTCATATTGCTTTGTTTGGGAATTTTTTTTGTCTTATTGGTGTTTTGCTTGTATATTATGATTTCTGATTTTGTGTTTTTATGGGTTGTGTGTGTTTTAATGTTATTTGTTTGCCTGTTTGCTTTCTAAAGAGAGAAAGAAAGGGCATGGAATCGGGTGGGTGGGAAGGGTCTCGGAGGATACGGGGAGGGGAAATTGTGATCAATACAAACATTTTTTTCAATAAAAAAAGAGTGGGGCGGAGGAAGAGAGACAAGTGCCGGGTTAACTAGAGAGCGACCCGCGGCCTTTGCAGGAACCAGGAAGGATTTTTGCCACAAAGCTATACCCCAGCCTCTTCAGGATGTTTTTCCTAAGGATTAAGGACTTTCTTAGTGTGTTGACTCAGGCAGATTGGAATCTCCTTTTCAGGAAAAACTGGTCTGTTTGGGGATGCATCTTCTTCCTTAAAGCTTGAGTATGTGGCCAGCTGTGGTACAGTCTGCCAGATCCCAGCTCTTGTGTACAGGGAAGAGGATCAGGAGTTCAAAGCCATCCTCTGCCTAATTAGTGAGTTTGAGGCTAGCCTGGGCTACATGAGCCCTTGTCTCAAAACATAAAATAAATTGCTAGTCCTAGATACAGGCGCTCTTACATCATCTAATAAAAATTGCTGATGTGAAAGTCAATACAGAAGCAAAAGGGCTCAGCATAGTGATACACGCTTGTAATCCCACACTCAGGCCGGGGTAGTACTGCTACACGATCAAGGCTAACCTGGGCTATATATAGAGGACCACACCAGACAAGGCAGTGGTATCCAAAAACCAAAGCAAATGCAAAAGAACCCGGGCTCCGCATCTAAGAACATTGTCTAATCCACGCAGCATTCGAAGAGACTGGCAATGGCTTCCCTCACTCGGCCAGTGTGAGAGACCACAGCCAGCGAGGCCCCTCAGTGAGGCTGAGTGTGTGAGTGCACACGCTCGTGTGTGCGTATGCAGGTGTGTATGTGTCTTGCTGCTAGTGGGGAGGTCAGAGGACAGTCTTGGGGTGTCAGTCTTCACTTTCACCGCGTTTGAGGATTTGTAGCCAAGCCAGCTTCAGGAGCCCCTGCCGGGTCTGTCCCCCATCTCCTGAGGGCATAATGGGGTTACAGACTCTTGGGGTTACTGACTCCAGCGCTACTGTGTCTGGCCTTTGGTTGGTTTCTGGGGATCTGACTAAGGCCGTTGGCAGTAAGTGCTTTTACCCACAGAGCCGTCTCGCAGATCCTCTTCCTCCTCGTCTGCTCCGTCCAGGCTCTGGAGGGACAAGAGCAACGCATGCGCTGTTCTCGTGAGCTCCCGGGATGCCGGGGCTGGATGGAGATACACAGCGATGCTGGCTCAGGGGGAGCCCCAGGAATGTCCACGGAGCCTAGAGGCCCCAACTGGTGGAGGGAGCAAACCACAGTCACTGCCGCGAGCCCCAGCGGGGACTGGCTTCAGATGTAAGGCCACCAGGAGTCCAGATCGAGGCCCATCTCCTTGGGATCCTTGGGCCCCCTGAAGAGCCAGGGCCAGGCTTCTCCCAAAAGGCTAAGCTAGGCTCACTCAGCTGCCCTGGTGACAGTCGGCCTCCACAGCTGTGTTTCTCAGTGCTCAAGGCTGCCACCCATGACTGCTCTCTGAGGCCAAGGCAAACCACTCTCCTGACAAGAAAGCCTACTCACGCCTCGGAAGTCAGCTCCTGGGAACCTGCTCTGGGGTGAGTCTGAGTCAGTCCCGGGTGAGGGGCCGGCTAGGGCCGGGCCTCTTCAATTCTCCTACACATACCAGCAAGCACGGGACATAGGGTAGCTATCAGAGCATGGCTTCTCCTGGCAAAAGACTTCAAGTAGCCTGGCAATGGCGACACACACTTTTGAACCCAGCACTTGGGAGGCAGAGGCAGGCGGATCTCTGTGAATTCAAGGCCAACTTGGTCTACAGAGTGAGTTCCAGGACAGCCAGGGCTGTTACACAGAGAAACCCTGCTCAAAACAAACAAACAAACAAACAAACAAACCAAAAACAAAAAAACAACCAAAACAACAACAACAACAAAGGTGTATAAATGGAGGTTTTTGTCCTGTCAGCAACTCCCAAATACCCAGAAGCCGCTTCCCAAATAATTGACTTGGAGGCTTAATAATGGTTATAAATGCTTGGCCGATAGGTCAGGCTTATTACTAACTAGCTTTTACATTTAAATTAACCCATAGTTCTTATGCTTTGCCACATGGTTCATGTCTTGTTACCTACCTCATTTTCTACATGTCTTGCTTCCTCGGCAGCTGGCTGATGATGTCTATCCTGACTCCGCTCTTCTTCATCTCCTTCCTCAGTTGATTGTACTGCCTAACCTTATCTTGCCTCGCCATTGGCCAAAACTGTCTTATCATCAACCAATGAGAGCAACACACATTCACAGTATACAGAAGGCCATCCCACAGCAAGGGTGAGGATCCATGGAGGTGCTTATGGGGGGCTGCTCTTGTACCCCCCATGGATACAGATTTCCCAGTTGCTGATTTCATGTCCATGGGGCTGCCACAAACCTTGTAGCTGGGAGTGTCCTATATTCTCCACTCAGCCTCCCCGCTCTGCTTAACTCCACCTTGCCTAGCCGAAGACAGAGATGGAAGATGGAAAACTTAGGCGCCAGATGGCCCTGCCAATCTCCAGCTATGTGACCTAGTCTCCGCTCTTTGCCTCAGTTTCCTCATTTGTAAAATGGCAACACTGTACGGACCTCTCAGATGAGATAAACATCTGGCAGAGAGCCGGCCTTCGGTGAGAGTAAACATGGGACTGGGAATGCAGGTCGGCTGGTAGAGTGCCTGGCATGTCCGAAGCTCTGGGTTCGATCCCAGCATCTCACAACACCAGGTGCACACCTGTAATTCCAGCCCTTGGAAGGTAGAGGCAGGAGATTCAGAAGTTCAAGATTACCCTCAGTTCCAGGACAGCTTGGGCTACATGAGATCATCTCAAAAAACTGGACAGTACCTGCCTGATGGGAACTTCCAGGTGGGGCGGGGGTCCATGATTTTCTGGGTCTGCAGAGATGATTCATAGCTTCAGAGCTCTGGGCCTGCCTGTCACCTCTCCGTGTCAGGAATGCCGAGCCGCCCTCACAGTGCAGCAGACGGTACACCACAGGGGAAGAGTTCGTGCCGCTCTCTCCTGAGGCTGAGACGCGGAGCTGACAGCCCCTGCCCTCCCGGGGTGTCCCGACATTCACCCGCCCTGCTAGCAGTGGAGGTGACCTCAGTTCACCCCAGTCTTGGGAAAGGCTGGGGCAAGCCTTTGTCTGGAAGCTCACGGGGTGCTTAGAAGGCATGGTTCAGGCAGCTTTGGGGGAGATGGTGGAGGGTATATGGGGTGACACCTCTCAACAGGGCGTGAGGTCTGGGCTGCTAGAGATAAGGCTGAGAAAGGAAGCCCCGCTGACATTGGAGACCAGGCTAGCCGAGTCGAGAATCCTCCATGGTGTCCCCTAGAGTCCCAGCAGCCTATGCTATTTCTCTAGGAAGCCCCGTCTTCCCAAGAAAGATAACTAAGTCTGTATTTCCATTTAAACTTGGTATCGTTTCTTTTTTTGTGGGCAAGGGGTGAAATGATCTAACTCTGTAGCCAAGACTTGCCGGGAACACACCATGAAGCCCAGGGAAGTCTTCAGTTTGTGGATATCTTCCTGCCTTGATGTCTAGGAAGGCTAGGATTATAATTGTGAACCACAAAGTCCAGCTCTTTTTTTGGCTTATTGAAACAGGATGTCATTATGAATTCCAGGCTGGCCTCAAATCCGTGATTCTCCTGCCTCAGCCTCCCCAGGATTGGGATTACAGGCACCGGCTACCATGCCTGGCCTTTTGTATCACTCACTCCCACCCCCTTCTTTGAGCTCAGGTCTCATTGTTTTTGCGGGGAAGGGGGTTTGAGACAGGGTTTCCCTGTGTAGCCCTGGCTGTCCTGGAACTCGCGCTTGTAGACCAGGCTGGCCTTGAACTCACAGAGATCCGCCTGCCTCTGCCTCCTGCACTGCCCAAAAGTTCTTCATCATTCTTTCAATAAATCTTAAACTAAAAGTAACTAGGCTCCTCCATTATCTCCTCTATTCCTGTCAAGGAGCTTGCCACACGCCTGCTTTGTCCATGAGGAAACCTCCCCAGCTCTGGGAACTTGGTGGAGGTACTCTAGCTTGTAAGGGGCTGTGTGCCTTCCTGCCTGCCGTCCATGAGGCCCCACATGTAGTACAAATCCTAGTTGATCTTAATAATAAAAAACCCGGAGCCAGATATCAGGGGTAAATGCTGAAAGATCAGAGAGACAAAGGAGCAAACCTCAGCAGCATCTCACCTCACCAGCTCTTCAGCCTGAAAGGGGGCTGAGCTCCTGTCTTCTCCCGCCTTACATTCCTCTCTCTGCCCAGCCGTATCACTTCCTGTTTCCTCCTCCCTAGTGCTGGGATTAAAGGTGTGTGCCTCCCAAGTACTGAGACCAAAGGCATGAGATCCCAAGTGCTGGGGTTAAAGGTGTGTGCCACCTCTGCCTGACGTCTGTGGTTAACTAGTGGTTTAGCTCCACACTCTGGTCTCCAGGCAAGCTTCATTTGTTAGAGCACAAACAAAATATCACCACACCCACAGGGGTCGGAGCCAGCAGGGTCGGACAAGGCAGGGCTGGATCTTCCCACAATGCTCAGGAGAGGAGGCCCCCCGAGGCGTTAAGGAGAGACCAGCCGGTGTGTGGCAGGTATCAGGGGAATGCTTCCTGGGGGGGCTGGATGGGGAGAAGAGGAAGTAGAGAGCATGTCCAAAGCATGGAGGCGAGTTCAGTCCTGACTGACGGGGTGACGCTGAGACATGGGACAGGAGTGGGGGACTGTGCTCATGAGGGTGGGAGGCTAAATCCTCAGGTGCCGGGGTGTCCTGCACCTTCTGCAGCCTGCCTGGGGCTAGCTAGAAGACACCCACCTGTGCTTAGGAACCCACACTAGGGCAGACACTTCTGGCAAGACAGGTCCCAGGCTCCTCCTAAGAGGGGCGGAATGCCTGGGGACCAACTCAGTAATTCCTAGTCCTCAGCCACCCCAGTCAGAGAAGTGTGTGAGTGTGTGTGTGTGTGTGTGTGTGTGTGTGTGTGAGAGAGAGAGAGAGAGAGAGAGAGAGAGAGAGAGAGAGAGAGATTTGAGACCGAACCCAGCGCTTTGAGCATGATAGGTAAACACTTCACCCCTGAGCTACATCCCAGCCTTATCTTGCTCCAAATAGTTGGAAGTCCAGGCACATGTCCCACAGCCTGATTCACACTGGACATCTTATCTTTAGCTGTGACCTTCAGAGACTCTGGGTTCTCACACTGTCGTCCTGAAAAACGTATTTACATTAAACTGTCAATGACTCATACAGCTTAAAATGGAGTGACTATCAGGCTTGTGTATTCATAGGAATCATCCTGGGTGTGTGTGTGTGTGTGTGTGTGTGTGTGTGTGTGTGTGTGTGTGTGTGTGAAGGTGATAACTACTGTTTGACTTGCTCATTCTCTAACAATTCAGGAAAAAAAAACAAAGAACAGGGTAAGTGTCCCTCCCCTGGTAGAATGTCAGCTTCAGTTGGGTACAGTGGTGTATTCCTGGGAGTACAGCATTCTGGAAGCTGAGGCAGAAGAATTGTCATGAGTTCCGGGGCTGGGGCTGGGACTCAGTTGGTAGAGTGCAGGCCTGGTACGGATGAAACCTAGGACTCAATTCCCAGCATTTCATAAGCCAGGCGTGGAACAGACGCCTGGAATCCTGGCATCGGGAGACGAGGCAGGAAGATCGGAAGTCCGGGCCACCTTTGGCTGTTTACCTGTTTTGAGACCAGCCTGACCTATAGACCCTGTTCACAAACAGACCAAGTCTGGCAGGATGGCTCAGTGGGTAAAGGCACTTGTCAACAAACCTGAGGACCTGAGTTAGATCCCCAGGTCCACGTGGTGAGAATGGAGAACTGACTTCTTGAAAAGTTCTTTATAGATATATTTCTTTTTATGCCGTGTGCATGAGTGTTTTACCTGCAGGTATGTCTGTGCATCATGTGTGTGCCTAGAGCCACAGAGGTCAGAAGAGGGCATGAGATCCTCTGAGGCTGGAGCTGCAGACGGTGTGGTGCGGGGGCCACCACAGGTCCCCTGTAAGAGCCGCAGGTCCTCCTCACCACTGAGCCATCTCTGCAGCCCAAGAGAGCTGACTCTGGACAGGTGACCTCTGACCTCTACACATGCACCGTAGCACACAGGAAGGAGCACACATATCCACAAAATAAAAAAAAAATGTAATAAGAACTTAAATAAACAAATAAATAATTTTGCCAGTCCAGGGGCAGGTTTCCTCCGTTTCATTTTTCAGCTCTATTCCCAGCCCCTAGAACTTCTCGGTGCAAAGTAAATGCTCACCACAGCCATTGTTCTGTGGCAGAGTCGGGTGAACGGCATATTCCAATTTTGTTCTCTCTCCCTCTCTTTCTCTCTGAGACAGCATCTCACTAGCTTGGAATGGCCTCCAACTCATAGAGATCAGCCTTACTCAGTCTCCTGAGTGCTGAGATTAAAAAGCATGAGCCACCTTACCCAGTCTCTCTCTCTCTCTCTCTCTCTCTCTCTCTCTCTCTCTCTCTC